TTTACATAGTTAATCAATAAAAATATTATGTTGTTTTTTCCTGAGCTTTATGACTTTGTAGTATTTGTTAATTTTTAAAATTTTTCCAAGAGTAAACTCTAAAAAACATTAAAAATGAAACAATAATTTAATTTAAAAAAAAGTTTAATGGTTCCTAGCTAACATCAAGAGCCAGCTGAAAGCCAATTTTTGCCCTCTCTGATGCAAAAGCAAAACAAAGAACTTTGAGTCTTGAATTAAGACCCGTTGGTTTTAGGGAGGAAGAAAATCATACAACCATCAAACAGAAACTGTGTGGCACATTTTCAAACCAAAACTTTAGTCTCTCAATAATCAATCTCTACAATGAACTCTACAATGAAGAAAATTCTTCTACCAAATCTCTACCTGGCTGACTCCTACTCATACTTTGGGTCTCAGCTTAAAAGTCACTTATCCCAGGGGTGCCTGGATGGGTCCGTCAGTCTGACTTTGGCTCAGGTCATGAGCCTGTGGTTTGTGAGTTTGAGCCCCACATCAGACTCTCTCTACTGTCAGTGCAGAGCCCACTTCAGATCCTCTGTCCCCCTCTTGCCCCCTGCCCCAGCTTGTTCTCTGTCTCTCTCTCAAAAATGTATAAATATTTAAAAATAAATAAATAAAAGTCTCTTCTTCCAGAAAAATGCCAAATGTGTATTAGGTAAGTGCTTTGGAGACCTATCAACTTACCTATATCATAACATATTTTAGTGGTCCATTTGGCTGCCTGCCTTTCTCCCTAGGTTGCCCCTGACAGGGCAGGGACTATCTCTGTCTTCTTCACATAGTCCAGCATGGTGCCTAGAACACAGCAGGTGGTTTTCCTAAATTACTTTTATTTTAAGATTGTTTCCATATAAGGATGACAAGTAAAACTCTTTGTGCAAAACCTTTTTGAAATGAGGTATGGAGAGAGGGTAACCACCAAGTTTAGATAACTGAATATAGCAAATGGTAATCTACCTGAAGATGTACTTAAATCAGGCATCTCCAGGGAATTATCATATTTAGAAATTTTTTTTGTTACTAGTCATTATTTTCATTTAAAAGAAAATTTTATAATTAGATTTACCAAATTAAGTTAGTTCAATTTACTACATATTTATTAGGACAGTGAGAAAAGACAAGAGAAGGAAATACAAAACAGCCAAAGTGTTTTAACTGCTAATCTGAATAAATGTTTAATTTTTAGAATGGAAAAAACAGTAGAGAACTAAGTTTAAATGGTTGCAGTTCTTTGTTGCTAACTATCTATTCAAGAGTATTTATATCAACTAGATAAGCATTTTAGAAGCTGGTCATCATAGTAGCCTGACATAGTTAATATATATTTAAAAAATTAATTAATTGTTGAAAGATACTTCAAACCATTAGGTACCAAGATTCCATTCTGAATTATCATAAGGAATCTATTTGGAAGAATCATGGAGTTAGTTCAGGTTTAGGAAACATCTTGTGATATAGGAAAATAAACTGACCATTTTATCAGCAAATTTAGAACAGACACAACATCTACAGGTGATGGGAAATATTATTATTATTTTTAACTGGAAGCATAATTTTGAATATTTTGCTTCACTTAAGCAAATTACCTACTACAAAGGATATGGTTTTATATATAATGAAGGAGAAAAACAACTCAACCTACAACGAGGTATGATTTAGCTACTGAAATGATCAGATGTGCATACTAATTCCTGTACTGGTGACAGATTTCAATAGAAACCACTAAATTCCACCTGCAGGCACATCATGTCAAGTGTGTATAAACAATAATAATTTCATGGCAATGGTGCCAGGGGAAATATCCCAAGATTCTTTATACAAGTCAGTACAATAACAGATGTAGTAGTTGATTTATGGCTAACTGAAGAATTAATGTTAAAGAGCTTATTAAAATTCATTCTGTTTCCTCTAATTCTAAAAATAGGCTAGTTTCTCCAAAAGGTACATATACAGATAATGGATATAAACAGAAACAGAAGTGGATGGCTACCACAGCTTTCATAAAAATAAAATATTCTAAGCTCAAACATAAATCTCTTCCTTTTTTTATATCCAAGATTAGCAACTAAATTATTTTAGTTACAATGAGTTCTGCAAGCATACTGAAAATAATCACTAATTTAATTAATTAAAGGTGTCCAACAGGCACAGTTTAATTTGCTAGTACAAAGAAAAATATATGATTTTATATAATACCTGTAGTGATAAAAGAAAGACCTATTAATTAAAATTATAATTCTGTGTTACCACGATAAAATGACTTCTTTAAAATCAGGGACTGCGAATGATTGAGAAGAAAATACCACTGATAATGCTTAAGTACTGGAAATTATATGGAAGGTTTGGAAAAAGTTATAGGATGGAGGGTAGTAAGTAAAATCGGTAATTTTATTTAGTTCCTTGACATTCAGCACAGTCTCTATGCCTGTCATTGTTCTAATTGGTAAGGTATTTGGCCTGAGTTCATTGGGAAGGATGCAGACTGAGGGTAGGTGGAAGTCAATGTGCCAACCAAAGTTCTGCCATTTATAAACTGCATGATAAATCACCTGGTATCTACTAGGCCTTAGAATCCTCATAAATAAAAGAAGGATGATTTCTAGAACCTGTTTAACTAAAACTTTAAGAAATTCTGCATGTTTCAAATTCAAGCCTGTTTAACCTTCATATCTTGTAGTTGCCACTACAGACTACAAAACGCAGGAGAAAGGATTAAAAATCAAACCAAATAACTAGTTGTAGCTTCTAGGCAAGGCCAAGTTATATACTAAATTTGGTTAAGACTAGTGAGGCCAACTTTACTTTTCTATTAACTGACTACAATTCCAAAAGTTGCCCCTCCCTAGAAACAGTTAAACACAAGAACATTGCCCTATTCTGGCTATGTGCTTCCACAATCAAAGAGGCTTGAAGTTTAAAGTAAGTTTCCAAAATGAAAAAGTTAGCCACAATGAGTTTGACAGAACTGCTTTTCCTGTATATTCTTAACCTTGATATCTAATCTGTTTGCACTAGCTGTGAACTACAGACCAGATTAATTGAAGATATAACCTCAAAATTAAAGCTCAGCTAAGGTTCTAGAGTAAGAGGTTCACTTTAAAACTTGGGGCTACAGGGGCATCTGGGTGGCTCAGTTGGTTGGGAGTCCGACTTTGGCTCAGGTTATGATTTCACAGTCTGTGGGTTCGAGCCCCGCATCGGGTTCTGTGCTGATAGCTCAGAGCCTGGAGCCTGCTTCAGATTTTGTGACTTCCTCTCTCTCTCTGCCTCTCCCTCATTCGCTCTCTGTCTCTCAAAATGAAATAAAGATATAAAAAAATAACTTAAAAAATAAAAAATAAAACTTGGGGTTACAAAGAAAAAAATGTATTGATATATACAATAAGGCTCCTAAATCATCCTAAGACAAAACTAAGATCACAAAATAAAACTTTAAATTCATATAGAACCCTTTACAGAGTAACTTAAATCATTTTATAAAAATTACCCAGGGGCATCCGGGTGGCTCAGTTGGTTAAGCATCCAACTTCACCTCAGGTCATGATCTCACAGTTTGTGGGTTCAAGCCCCGCGTCGGGCTCTGTGCTGACAGCTAGTTCAGAGCCTAGAGCCTGCTTCAGATTCTGTGTCTCCCTCTCTCTCTGACCCTCCCCTGCTCATGCTGTCTCTCTCTCTCTCAGAAATAAATCATTTAAAAAAAAATTACCCAATGAACTTTCCTGCACTTCTGTGAAGAGTCAGATATTATCTGTTATTTTCCAACAGAGGTAAAAAGAAACAAAGCAACTAAAGTTACTCACTTTGCCAATGACATAGCTTCATATTCCACATCTAGTGTTTTAAACTTGTGAAAAAAGATGCTCAGCTCCATGAGAAATTATATTAACAGAGATGCCTCAGCCTTTTGAAAAGATTTTGACTTCTTACAAGATGAAACTGCAGAGATAGTGTATTGCCTTCCTTAGGATTTCACCTACTAAATTTAGTTCAGTGTCTGCCAAGCTGTATGTACTCTATTGTATATTTATCCAATGAATAAAGGCCATTAACAACAACTAATATGTACTAGAGTTCATGTTCAAGTACTATGCTAAGTGCATTACATACATTATTTTGCTTAATCTAACCAACAACTCAAAGAGGTAAGTAAATTATTATCTCTCATTTTACTGATGAGAGAACTAAGGCCTAAGGTTAAGTAACTTGCCCAAGATTACAGACTGATAAAGTGAGGATTTTAACAAAGGTAGCCCACCTTTAGACCTTGTTCAAAGATCATCATTGTAGAAAGAACAGTAGATTAGCAGTGAGAAACTGTATATTCTACTTCCTCTATTACTAAATTCTTGGAAATAAAATTTCTTGATGATCTTTATTACCTCTTATAATGTCTAGCATAGTACCTTACTCACATTAACTGTTTCTTGAATAAAATGAAAATTGCAAAAGCAAATTGGGTTTCATTGTCCTCTACTGTGAAATGGATAAAAAGGTACCTGCATGGTCTGGCTCAATGGTTCTCAAAGTGTGGTCCCTGGACTCAGAAACTCTGTTAGAAATTCAAATTCTCAGCACACAGACCCCTCTCTGCCCAGACCTACTCAATCAGAAGACGGTGTCTTAATAGACTCTCAGGCATGCAGAAGATTCTCATATATCGATTTACCTTATTAGATAATTATGAGTATCAAATTAGATAATTATGTGTATCAAATAAGTTCAGTAAGAGTAAATTCATTCCTTAAAAAAACTTAGTGGTTTTGCTAAGTCCAGATAAAAATGAACATCAGAAATTAAATAGGTCATACAGCACTTTTTAAATAAAATATCGTTCTAGATTTTACCTTGGTTATTTTGAACAGTCATGGATCCAGAGAAAAAGATTAGCATGAGCCATAAAGCTGTGCCTAGAAATCTGATAATTTCAAACATGGAAGTTCAGCCCAGAGATGTGAAATATTGCTTAAGCTTCTTACCTGACCAGTGTCCAGTGGAGGTGCCAGATCTGTCTGTGCAGGTCTCACTTACAGGTCTAAACACAGTTTCCCATCCACCAGTAGCATAGCGCCAATTCTGAGATTCCAAGATGAGTGTTCGCTGAGTGCCGTATGCAATCATGAAGCAGTAGACCACATGATGGAGTTGACAGCCATAGCCACAGCCTTTGTTGATATTACATACTAGCTTCTTGGCTTTGCTGCAGTCCTTGGGGTTCTATCAGGGAGAAAGACGAAGGTGAAGAGAGGCCATCTTCTCTTTATAAGTGACAAGTGTCAAAAATCATATAATAAGCCAAGATTGATCCAGTGTACTTTACTAAGCAAAAAATCCAGCTTTAAGGATTGAATTTCAAAGAAACCACTGAACATTTATTTTAGAGAGATGGCAGTGAAAAAGAACAGTTGCTTAGGGAACACCACTAAACAAATATGAAATTAAGCAGTTACATAAAAAAAAATAACCTTTCACTTCTCCATCACTCAGAATATGCAAGCATGATCATCTCTGAATTTAAAGTTGCATACATTGATGAGATCATTATGAAAGAAGCAAGATAATTTATTTATGCCAGCTACACTCGCACTCTGAGTTTACCTTCCCAGGTGAAACTTAAATCGTTTTAAATGAAAAACTGTATTTCACCTATTAATTCCACCTATCTCCACAGAGTTCTAGATATCACAAACAAAATGCACTTTTTCATTACGGAAGTGAAACCACTGAATAAAAAAATGTGAGTTCAACAATTATAAAATGTCAGTTACAGAACTTATTTTTTTTTAAAACTAATGATGATAGCTACTAGTAATTTTCACAATAAAATGTAGAATATGTTCTACATTGGCTGTCTTGAGGCTGTGTTATACCAATTTTTTAATCTTTGAAGTATAATTAACATACAGTGTAATGTTAGTTTCAGGTATACAACATAATAATTCAACAATTCTTTACATTACTCAGTGCTCATTATGATAAGTGTAGTCACCATTTGTCACCAAACAACATTATTAAAATATTATCTATTTCACCCATCTGCCCAACCATTGTTATGCCAATTTTTAATCAGGAGGTCCCTTTTATATTTGTGTACCTTGCTATAAAAAATAGTAACTGTTAAAACACTTAATATTATCTAACAGTAGGTGTAATAGGGTTAGGTAATGAGAGACTGTTTTTATTCTAAAGTTTCAACTGTGCTGTAATTCGTATGGGCTATTGTTAAATATCTCTAGGCATCTTAGTTCTTCAAATAAAATTTTGTCTTGACAAGGACTTTAAATTAGAAGTTTTAAGCTGTTCTGTCTGCAAGGTAAGAGAAAGGATGGGTGCCTTCAGGAACAGAATCTTTTCTCTCATAAAGTAAGAAGCAAAGTAACCAGTTTTCAATATATATGAGCCTTGAAAAAAGGCAGTCTCCAAACCACAAATCTACAGCTATTTTCCAAGGGTATCATCTGTTTTGTCAAGCAGAGCCCTAGAAACAAAAGCTAGGAAGGTGAAGATATAAAATGATTCTGAAGGAAAAGCTGAGAAGGGAAAATGCAGCACAGCTGCTTTCAGAAGAGGTAATTTTTACACTCAAATGTGCTACTGAGGCTGGTCTTTTTAGATCAAAATATAACGTATAGCATCAAGAGCCTTCTGAAGAGGTAGAGCCCTCATAAGTCTGAGAAAGTCCAGATAAAATTTGGCAAGATTTGATCAATACTGTTTCCCCAATCAAGTACTAGAGTTGCTGATTCTTTCCACTTAAGACTTTTTCACTTAAGACTCCAGTTGGTTTAGCAACAAAAGATTTGAGAAGAACAGAAGGATAGGTGATATGTTATTGAGAGACCAATATCATTTACTCTCTATCCAATATTATATAAGGATCCTGGGAATAAGTAACACTCTCAAAATGATCCATAGTTTTATTATTAACTCAATAGTTTATCAACAGGGCAAATAAAGAACAGAACATTTGTCAGATTTTTCGTGATTTTAAGAAATGCAGCACATGAGTATTTCTAAAATTCATATGAATGAAAAAGAAAATATTCTTTATATATTTTTCAATAACTTTTTTCTTTTAGAACTGTTTTTCAATATATAGAATTATTATTATATATAATATATTATATATAATATATATAGTATATATATAAATATTATATTATATACATGTAATATACCCTATTACATCACATATTAACCTTCATATTTTAAGGAAAAAAAGTGAAGAAACAGAATAATTAAATGTTTGAAACTATAGACTTTTTTTTATAATAAGAAGACATATCTGCATTTAAGACACAGAAAAGGAATCTGTGTTTCCTGAGTTTAATTAGAAAACAATGCTTCAAGCATAAGAACTGAGTCCTAAGAGAAAGACAGACATGAACAGTTTATGAAATGAAGCTTCATTCAAGAGTTTTAATGTGCCTTAATCCAAGCTAAATTGAGACTGTATTCAATCTCTCTGTTAAGTCATAAGTAACATGTAGAAAGGAAAGAAATCTACTATGTTGGTTCTGGAATGGAAAAAGTCTACCTATTTACAGAGTAATCTATGGAAGACTCCAAGGTTAGCAATAAGAGAAGAAAAACTGAATGACTAGAATGAGAACAGTAAATAAAGCACTGAAGAAGCGCAGAGCCACAGCCCATTTTTTTTACAAAAATATTTAAAAGTGTGAAAAATTCTCAAGATCTTGTTCATAAAAGATAGAGAGAGTGAGAAATAGAAAGAAAAAAATCCTATGTGTTTCTAACACAAGATTAGGCTCACCAGAATAAGTATGTAGAAAAAAAACCAAGCAGATGGTAATAAGGTAAACAAAGCAACAATTCTGAGGTGGGCAGGGACTTATTCAGATGTAAAGAAACCTTACAGGGAAACCCCTTTATCTGACCTAAGTTTTTGTTATCCACCACAGCCGAGTAGCACAGAGATTTATAGGAGTCTATAAAAGGGAAACAAACTGTTGTTACACACACATGGGTATGCATATGTATGTATGCATAGTCTTCAAAATTTCTTGCCAAATAGCCTTTATCAATTACTACTGATCCTTGTTTTTACACTTTCTGTCTGCAAAAAGCTTGAAGGTATGTCTCATCCATAAGCAAGAATATACAGAAAGGCCTCCGTACTATAAAAACAGCTTTAATTATGCTCACACTTTAACAGAGTAGCTATTTCTGATGATAAAACCTGTTTTTAAATTGCTTCTAGTGTGCCTAATGCACTTTCTTCTACATTTCTCTACCAGTTATCTAAGAATGCAGGCATATTGCTTTGTTCTATATGGTGATTCTTTCCATCTTTCCCCTTCCTCCCTTTTATGATACTCTCCACTCACCACACTCACCACACTCACCACACACACACACACACACACACACACACCCCACATGTGTATGCGTAGCATATGATACACTTCCAGCAGAAGTGCCACTAGGAAGTACTTCTCATTTGGGAGTAGAAGACGGGGAAATACAGATTGAAAATACCTCCTTCCTAAGTCCCCTGGGAGAGTTCTCACTCACTTCTCCCTCCTTCTGTCTTGAGCATCACTCACTGATCACGTATAGGTGAACTTTTATTCATTAAATAAGTATCTATTAAGCATTTAATATATACAACAAAACTTAGGAGAGGACAATCCAATAGAATAAGAAACCATATATAAATAGTAATATAAACAGGCAACTTAAATGTGGTAAGACTGTGATAAACAAGAAATTAAGGAATAGAAGAGGAAAAAAATCACAGCTGGACGAGAAAGGGTTATAAATAAAACTGTATTTAAGCTAAACCTTAAAAAATAAAATTTATTGTGTTTCTGAAAGGATAAGTAAAAGTACTTCTTTCACTATTAAATAGGAGTCCATATTGTAAAGAATGACAGTTAAGAGCAGAGTAAAATTATACTCTATTTTATAATCTGGGATTTTTATATACAGGGTCTTCTTAAAGTCAGATTCATTAATAGGCACATATATTCTTCTTCCTTGCAATTATTCAAGTTTTAGAAATAGGAGGTAAATTTGTCAAAATAACTTGAAACAACATACTCTAGTTAAAGAACTTTGCATGGAGAAGTTTAAGGTAGAATTTTGTTCTAATTCAGGCTCTGTTATGAATTAAACTGTGCAATTTTGATTCATCTTGTTAATTTAAAATTGTGACAAAAATTACCTCCCTCCACAATCTCTTTATTTTCACTCATCTTTCCTTCTCAGAGATACTATGAAACTAAATGACATGGTATATGCGCACAGCTAATTCAAACATACTATCTCATTTACCCTCATAATCTCAAGAGACATTATTTCACACTGGACAAATGCAGTATTTTTTGCATTTAGTGCTACAAGGTGGCCCAATCATGGATCTTTATGAGCCAACACTGTTATGGAACACTTTTACAGTTATAATTCTGTAGCAAAGACAGCCCTATTTGTTCTCATTATCCTGTAAATCAAAATTGAGAAGTATATATAGAAATCAATGTGCCTCTAAGATGGTACACTAATAGAAGCAGCATCTCTTAAACCTAAATGATTACTAATTCACTAAAGGCAGCATCATAATGCTAAAATATTTTAGTCTTTTTTACTTTGGTTAAAATATGAAAATAGTTACTATTGAACATATTTCAAATTAGGAAGCCAGTGTAATTTCTACTTTGCTAAAAAGAATAATTTTAAATCAGTTAAACAGTTATTCTTATATTATGTAGGCACTGCTAAGATTTAGAAGTTTTCACTACTTTCATTTAGTAAGTTAGTAGTAATTTTGAATTAATGATGTAACATTACAAACTAGTACTGATTCCGTGGCTTTTAAATTAAATCACCGATAAAGTCTTTTGCCACAACTATTTAGATTACTAATACATACAAGTAAAGACTCTTCAGAGAAAAATTTTCCAGCTACCATGTAATTTTCCTCACTTATCTGTTTAGATATACTACAGAACAAAAGCATTGTAGAAAAAGGCTAAATTAACAACAAACAAACAAAAATTAGTCAATATAAACTGGACATAGTATCTCCAGAAATCTCTTGCAAAGAGTAAACGCTCCATAACTATTCGTTCAATTGAATTGCATGTAGGGAGACAAAGGTGATGTTACACCAACAGTAACAAAAATAAATGGGTGGCAATGAAGCCAGACTTTAGAATTCAGCTCTCCCAATCTATTGTTCAGTGTTCTTATCCATC